AATTTAAGCCCTAGTCACTCACTGGAACCACCTTCATATCTCTACTGGATCAGAAGTTACATGGATCAAGGATGTCACACAGAGAATCACAGGATCAGAGGCACTCAGCTGGAGGGTATATTGCATGGGGGTATATTGCATATTGCATATTGAATTCCTTTTATCCATATTGAATTCCTTTTATACTTACAGAACCACAAGTTGGCCACCAGTTGTACCAGTTAAATTCCCATTTATTCAGCCACAGAACAAATGAATTCCTTTCTTACAGCTTGCATATAAAAGGGATGCATTGTAGATAGTCTAGCCAAAATCCCTCAGTATTTTCAGGTACAGGGCAGCTAAAATGCCTCATACAGGGGGTCCCTTGGGGCTAAAATCCCTCATAATTTACTATATAAGGAGGCCTCTGCCTGCCAGTTGTTTCCCTCCTCATCTCACTCAGTACACATTTTTGGTGGGACACCTGTCACAAATGACACATATTTATTACACAAGAAGTTCACAAGTAGTGCATTTCACAGATTGAAATATATACACAGTTCATTTCACAAACATTTCACAGAAGAGCCAGTCCTTGGTTCCAGTCCTGGTTGAAGCAAAGTGCTCCCAGCATTATTGTGTTCAAGAACCAACTCTATTACATTACAAATATACAGTATCAAGGCATCAAGACGAGAAACACCATCAACAACTCAATCAATTCTTTGGACAACAAGATCAAACTTCAACAATTATACAACCATCTTTGAACATCATCCATTATCACCAACCAAACTGCCAAGCTTACCTTGGTGGTCTTGTTTTCTGATAATATGGAAAGGCCGAGTTTGCAGCTCATTCATCCATTTCTCCATTCAGCAAAAAGGATCTTACAATCACTTTTGGAGTCTTACACGGCAAGGTACACTCTCAACAACCAGGAGTTTACCCCTTGGCTGCAAGAGTGTACACCTTGATGGCCAAGAGGAATCCTCTTGGCCATGAAGGGTATACACTCTCAATGGCCAATGGAAACCGCCTTGGCCGTTGAGGTGTGTTGTGCCTCTTGACTGTCTAGGTGTGCACACCTCAACAGCCAAGAGCTGCCTCCCCAATGTAGAGAGTGTACACCTTGATGGTCAAGGTGGTTTCCCTTGGCTGTTTAGAGTGTTTACACTCAAAGACCAAGATGAATCCTCTTAGATGTTGAAGTGTGTACACCTCAACAGCCAAGGCAGTTTCCATTGGATGTTGTGGTGTGCTGTGCCTGTTCCAATTCCAAAAGAATACAGCTGAGTTGTTAGGATAGTATATTTACATGCCTGTAACAGTCATTACAAGAGAAAGAACAATAATTAGGGAGGAGTTGTGGTATATACAGACAGTACTACATACAATAAGTGGATTGGGAGAACATGTCTCAACCAGGAATGTAACAGAGGAGCAGTAGTACATACAAGGAGTAGCGTGGGAGAACATGTCTCAACCAGGAATGGAAAAAAGGAGTAGAAGTATAGAGGAGTGGGAGAACTTGTCTTGACCAGGAATGGAATGGGGGAGTGGTGTTTATAAGGGTACTTTATGTTTTACGTAAGGTTACAGGGTACAGATTTTAGAAAGTGAAGGGAGGAAAAATAATTGAGGTGGAGGGAGGAAAGAAGGAGTGAGGCTTTGACCCCCAAATTCTGGATGGAAGGAGATAACAGCAGGGCTGGCAGGCTGGTACCGCCTATGCAGAATGTTCTGGAAGATGGCTTGGTTACCTGGCAATGAATGAAATCATGCTGTGCCTGTGTACTCCCTTGAATGCTGTTATGTGACAAGGTCTGGAGTTAAGTGTTCCTAGCACAGCATAAACTACACTATTTGTTTGGAGGCTGTGCGTAAAGGCTGTGAAGGTGAGATCCCTTGCAGCAATATTCCCTCACAAGGAGCCCCTGCAGCAGAAATATCTTGCTCTTCAATATAAAAGAAGGGCCTCTCCCCGTCAGCCTACAAGAGTAAGTTGGTCATAGTTAGTTAAGTGATATGTTAGTGAGTTAAGTAGTGAGTTAGTTAGTAATATGTAGTGAGTTATAACAGTATTGTAAGCAAGAAAACAACACAGAGTTCTGAAATTGAAGCATATTAGTAGTAGTAGTCATCATATAAGTTGTAGTACATTAACAATTAACCAGTGTAAACAAGTAGTAGTAGTATTAGCACCTGAGTTCTAGTTTTTGATTCAAGTGCCTTGGCAAGAAATTGTTTGAGGAAGAGATAATTAACAAACTCAACAACAAAACATCTTTTTTGTGCTCAAAGCATCAGCACCACAGTGTCCATTATTAAACCAAAGTTGTAACAGATTCATTAGGAGACTAGATTGATACGTGATCTAGGTCTGATAGAGATTACTTTACAAAATTAAGATCTATCTTGGAATCAGCCATACATTATTAAATATTGATTACAAAACTCTTAGTTATTTGTTTAGTACATTTAGAGGGGCAGGTCTTTCAAACCACCTGTAAGTTGTAATAGCCTTTCAAACTATTTGCAATTTATTTCCCCCTCAAGGGATCTTTTGGTATACATATATGGTATATCAAGCCCATCTGGGCACACAAAAAAGTTTGGCCAAAAATGGGCCAATGGCAAAGCCTACTTGGCCAATCCCAAAGCGCACATGGCACCCTCCCAACCCCTGTTTGGCACATTTCAAATTTGGTGGGGGTCAGGACAAAGCCTTGCTTGGCCAAGCCCAAGCAAGGGTGCCACGCCTGCCAGCATGCCGGCCAACAAGAAGGAATACCCTCCTGATGGTCGGCTCACTGGGGGCACCCCACTCTTATAGGTTTGTACCGGTCATTGAGAGGGAGTTGTAAGGTACACACCTGCTCTGAGTGAGGGGCCAATGCTGGGCTGGTGCACAGGAGCACCTGAGCCACCAATTGGCCCAGTGGGACTTGGCTATGTGCTAAGTCCTGCCCCCCGCCTATTCTGGCCAATCAAGCCCCCTGGGAAAATCCCCAAGCCCTGGTGGCACTCGGCCAAGCGGGACTTCTGATTGTGCCCAGATGGGCTTGATACACCATTGACCAGAAGGAAACCCTTCTGGCCAATGAGGTTTTTGTTTCTCGTCAACCAGAAGGAAATCCTTCCAGTCATGGAAGTGACTAGCAAATCCCCTCAAGCATGAGGGGTGGCTTGGGGACCTGACTCCCAAAAAATTGAAAAAAATATTAAAAAATCTACATATAACTAAAAAAAATAGGCTTAGAGAGCCAAACAAACTGTCATGCAATCTAACGCCGGCATCAACCTCCAATTCACATTTGTTGGATTTGTTGAAGCCGGTGTTAGACCGAGGCAGACAGGTGTCCAACTCAAGAAAACCCCATGGGACATTGAGTAAAACCCAACATCTGGGGCAAAAACAAGCAGCCTCCCCAAATTTGAGGGCATATACTAGTTAAAACATAAATGGATGGACATCCATTTTAGATATGGTCAAAGGATATCCGTTATCCGCTGGCGGATACCCGCCAGCGGGTGCGGATTCAGGTGGATGTCCTTTTCCGCCCAACATCCTGGTGGATATCCGGGTATCCCAAGGGATACCCGGTGCCAAGAGAGTGAAGGAATGGGTCTTTTTTACAAAAAAAAAAAAAAAAAACTTGGCCCCCATTGCCCTAGAGAGCAGAGCCCATGTTGCTGGGAGTAATCCCTCCTGGTGAGCTGGTACACAATCCAGATTGTTGGAAGGAATCCCTCCAAATGAGCTGGTATTTAATCCCAGCTTGTTGGGAGAAATCCCTCCCGGCAAGCTGGTACACAATCCAGCTCGCCAGGGAGGGATTCCTCCCGACGAGCTGGTGTACAGTCGGGAGGAACTCCTCCCAACAAGCAATCTACATGCCAGCTTGCTGAGAGGGGTTCCCCCCGGCAAGCTGGATTCTAAACCAGCTTGTCGGGAGGAGTCCCTCCCGGTAAGATGTACACCAGCTTGTTGGGAGGGATTCCTTCTGACAAGCTGGTGTACATACACTCTTTGTCAGCCACAGAGCACCTTTCACAGTACGTGAAATGTACCTAGTAACTGCAAATAATAATAACTAATTGAATACAGGAAAATATTATACATTGTTGTTAAAATAATAAATAAATATATAAATATGTATTTACATTTAATCTTAATTCATAATTTATATTTAATAATTCTATAATTAACTGCAAAATCCCCTTGAGTATTGCACATATAATATCACTAGGATTTCACAGGAATAGCTTTAGAATAAGTTATTAAAACAATATTTATTCTTATACATTAGGTACATATTTTATAATACATAAATTAATAACCTGTGTATAAGAATCAGCTAGTAGAAATGTGAAATGGATGAGGAATAAGCTATATAAATTTATCTGAAGCTTACCCATCCTCGATCACATCATCTGGGCATCAGATTGCATCATAACCCTCTTGGATGGTGTCATCAGAACCCTTTTGTGCTCTAATTCAAAGCTTGCATAATTTAAAGTAGCCTACACAGGAAAGGAGCCCAAATTCTACATGCAAGACTGAAATATGCATGCAGCACATGCATTTCTCATGATCACAAGCTTGCATAAGCAGAGTTACACGTATGCAACTAACCATACAATTGCACAGCCCCTGCACAGTAACTGCAGCTCTTTCAATTACGTGAGAAATGGGCCATAAATTCAATTATGCATGTATGATAGCATGTCCTAGGACCTTCCATCAATGCATAGCACTGCACATCTACAGTTCCCATGTTTACACAAAACTGTAGAGCTGCTAAGAAGCTCACTAGTGCCCTGAGGGCCTCTCCTCTTCCCCTGAGCCCTCTGTAGAATATTTAAGGAGCCCTGATTCCTACCTTTTTCCCCCCAGGAAATT